ACGCCCTGACCGCCGACGAGGCCAACAGAAAGTACAGGTGAGGGGCCGGGGGAGCACCCCTGCATGGGGGACAGGGGTCTGTCACCTGCTCTGGCAGCATCCCGCAGGATGCCGGGATGGAGCCCCTCCAAAGGCTCCCCTTTGGAGCTCCAAAGCCTGTGGGGTAAAATCACAGCATTATTTAGAATTGCAGAATTGTTTGGGTTGGGAAAGCCTCGGAGACCTCAGTGGAGAAGAGCTGCTATTCATACAGGGAGAGCTGGTTTGGAAGGGCCTCCAAGCTCAGCCAGAGATACCAACAGCGGGGGCAGAGGCTGGGTGCAGAGGCTCCCTTCCCAAGGCTTTCTCAGTCAGTGCCCTCTCTGTGCCACGCCAGCCTCACCACACCCCACGCATTTCGGGGGTACCACCTGCTGGAAGCAGGATGTACAGGAGGTCAGGAGACTGGCATACAGGTGAAGGCTTTCAGATTGACAATGAGGAGAGCAAAAAATCACATGATGGAAATGCATCCTGCACATCCAATTTCCCCAGCAGGACCTGGGTGGAGGAGGAGGAGGAAGGGTGTTTGCATGAAGGGGCTGCACATCTGGATGATGTCATAACAATGCTGGGTCACCTAGGCCCTGAGCCCACCTGTCCCCCGGCACTGCTAAGGCCACCACTGACCTGTCTCCAAGTGCCACATTCACATGGCTCAGAGATGGGGACTCCCCCCTGCCCTGGGCAGTGGTGCCAGGGCTGGGCAGCCCTTTTGGGGGCTTTTGGTGTCCCAATACTGTGGGGAGCTTTCCTGCAAAAGGAACTGGAGCCCGTCCCCTCTTGACTCCCAACAGCTGAGCCCAAAACTCCAGGTGTGGGTGTCCCACTCCTGGGGGTTCCCATCTCCACATCGATGTACTCAGCACCAACAGATCTGGGGACACATGCCAGCCCCTGGCGTGCCCCCCTGACTGTCCCCTCCTTGCAGCTACAAGGGGCTGGTGGCCGAGGCCCTGCGGCAGCTGGTGGGGGAGGAATGCTACCGGCAGGACGAGGTGCTGCCCCCTGGGTACTGCACAGGTAACCCCCGGGCTGTGGGCTGCCAGTGGCATCGGGGGGCTGGGGGTGGGAGCTCATGTGGGGCAGAATGAGCTCTGGCTCCTTGTCACTGCCTGTCCTGTGACACTGCCTTTGGGACAAAGTTCCTGCTGCAGAAGGGGCGTTTCTGTGTCTCTGTTGGCTGGCTCGGAGTCCCAGCTGGGGCACAGAGGTCCCGAGCCGTGTCCCATCAGTAGCTGATCGCTGTTCTCTCTCCCGCAGACTTCCTGCTGTGGATCAACCGCTCAGGCACGGTGCTGCCTCTCTCCCGCGTTCCAGCAGCTTCCAGGGCGCCCCCAGCCACGTCCCCCGTCACCATGTCCCTGCGC